GCACTCAAGACACCATAGAGGGTGTGAGTGTATTTAGGATCGATAGCCATATTATAATGAGGGGAAATCTTTGGCTAAGCGGTTATCGAGTGCCACTAGGTGACATGATTCTTACATTTGCATTAGGGACCTAGTGTGCTAACAATTTATCCTTGAAAAATGATTCGAAAAATGCTAACACAAGAGCACATGAGTTGTACACACTATGGTTAGCAACTTGGAAGCAAGGGTGAAGAGGTTGAGGAGTTAGAAAAAGAAAAGGAGGTGAAGGTAAAAGATCGAACGCTGACTCTGCCAGGACCGGACCCTGGTAGGCCAAGTCTATTCAGTTGTCCAGCCACTTGGGTGAGAGGGCCATGGTATGATCAGATGCAGGGACCGAACTCAGGGCTGAGTCCAATCATGCTATCTAGAGATGGTGTCACACGAGGTGGCGATCGAACGCTGGTGGTGGTGTGAGACCGGACGCGCAGGGGGGTGTCAGGTTGTCGCTGACGTATGATAATGTAACCTCCATATGTGTTGGTATTTATTAACTTGTCACTTGTTTAAGTAGCCACCTAATGTTGTTGACATTTCTTAACATCACTTTTGCTAAGTTGTTAGTGCCACTTCTAGAATGACACTAAGAAGTACTTTAGTATTCTATGTGACTAGAAAGAATATATATATATATATATATATGAAAAGGATCTGCAAGCACATAGATAAGTATACTATTGTAGCACTTCATTCTGAGTATTCCAGGTATCGTTATTTATATTTTTACCACAGGGAAGGAATGGCGGTTGGAATGTATTGATAACTTGTACATATGATGGAGAAATAAACTATAACCAAACTTCTACTCACAACAGGGGTAAGTCAAGAGATAAATGTATATGAATGGTAAATGATAAATGATAATTGATCACTCAGAGTACTCCTTTCTATGGCATTAACATTGCTAAGTAGAATATTAGAGGAATAATTCCTAAGTCATTCTTAATTACAAGTCAAAGCATACGTTGATTAGTGCAATTACACTTAGTAGTCATGGCTATGATCAACTTCATATTTACACATAAGGGATATTACTAAGGATGATTAAGAACGGAGCTTTTCTTCCTTTGTAACTAGATCCTACTTGTCCTATATTTGGGGAGTGGTTTACAAAGGACTCAATAGGAGTGTCACATCTGTGATCTACCACATGGTCCGGAATATAGGGTGCATCCGTAGGCAAATAACGTATAAGCACCACGCTTACACAATGTCAACCACTAACCCCTGGTACCTTAGAGCGAGCGCTATACGAACTTATGCTTGAACATGATGATAATCTAACTATACTAAGCATATAATCAAAGTAGACGATGAACATGATAACTAGGAACTTGAATAATATTAAGAACAGTGTCATAACAATTGTAGCAAACATATAAAAGTAATGAGAGATACAAAAGAGAGGGGGTACAAAAGCTATACCAAGCCACTCTCTTGATAAGATCTGGAATCCAAGCGAAGCTTGCCTTCCTATAGACCTAGCCTAGCTAGCTATGCCCTAGAATATGGTGGAGCTCTGAGAATGATTAGGGTTTTTGTTTTCTCAAATGACTTGATCAGGGTTTGATACCCTGGGGGTGGTAGGGGCTGGTATATATAGGCCGTATCATCCATTATGAACCCTCGAATCAAACTGACTTGAAAGGACGGCGTAGATGCAAACGCTAAGGTGGTGGAGAACCGACATTCGAAGGAAGAGGCTGACAGTGGGCCCTACAGGCCTGCCAGCCTACAGCCACTCGGGCCCTGCCGTGGTGTGGTGTCCTCTAGAGTCTTCTAGATCCTTCTGGTGTCAGACTCGCTGCGGATAAGTGCGATTAACTCTGACATATAGGTCCACCTTGACGGTTTTCTGGATAAACCCTGCTGAAAACATAGATTCACCAAAACTTGTGGAATTTGTTAGTTTAAACCCCTAAGTCTATGTTGGTGATCATTTTATACCCTTATGCAAGTTATATTGATGGTTTATAATAGTAGTTAACTACTGTCAATAGTATGCAAGCGCTGAAGGATCGAACGCTGGGGTGCGTCAGGTCATTGTTGACCGGACACGTCTGGTCATGAAAATCCCGCTCAGGATGCTCTCTGCATAGATTTGGACATGATCGGGCCCTGCTTGTCTGTGCATCCGGTCATTCCAATTGTGCGTCCAGTCATTCTTTGACTGCGTGAGTGAAACATTTTCGACCATTGAGATCCAATGCACGAGGTTTAAAGGAAGGACACATGGACGCCATCCATGGATCGGATGTAGGCAACCGGACGCTGGGGTGCATCCAATCACGTGAGTCCGGTCAGCCCCTGACTGAGCAATGGCTCTATTTTCTTGGGGCACCTATTTAAGGCTCTTGGCCGGCTTGGGGCTCACTTTCTTAGCAGTTTGACATATTTGACATCCTTGTGAGCCTAAGCAAACACCTCCCACTCATCTCCATCATTGATTCATCATCATAGTGAGATTAGGAGTGATTTCTAGTGCTTTCGCTTGAGTGATTGCATCTAGTTGCACTTAGGAGTTGTTGTGGCTGTGGATTTCTTGTTACTCTTGGTGGTTGTCGTCACCTAGACGGCTTGGAGCAGCGGAGGAGAATTGGCACGAGATGGTGATTGTTCATGGTCATCTCTCGGTGATTATGAGGGGTCTTATGCCTTCCCCGGTGGAGAGCCCAAAGGTAACTCTAGTAAATTGATCGTGTCATTGAGTTACCTCACTTGTGGGTAGGTTCTTGCGGCGCCAAGTATTGGCTAGGTGTGTGATACCTATTAGCCATCGAACCACCAAGTGTCCACCAAGTGTTGGTCGACACAACGGGGACTAGCGTGCCGGCAAGCATGTGACCTCGAGAGAAAAATCTTGTGTCCATTGTGATTGGTATTCTCCCGGTGATTGATTGGATATTCATTGATTGGTTCATCTCACTTGCCACGGTGGTATAATCTTCCGACACACTCTCTTGTATTTACATTCTTGCCTAGTCAAACTCTTTAGTGTAGTTAGTCTTTAAGAGCTTGTTAGTTTGGTTAGTGAGGCTCTTTAATTAGCCTTTGAGAGCTCACTAGCTTAGAGAGTTGTGACTTAGCCTTTGTGTGAACCTAGAGATTATAGCAACTAGAATTGTTGGTATAAGTGGCTTGCAACCCTTGTAGAGCTAGAGCAAAATTGCATTCGCCATTTAGTGTACTAACCATTTGTTCTAGTGAGTTTGTAGAAAATTTTTATAGGTTATTCACCCCCCTCTAGCCATTTAGGACCTTTCAAGTGGTATCGGAGCCGTGGTCACTGTTTGATTGAAGGCTTAATAACCTCGGTGTCAAAAGATGACTCAAGTCATCTTCAAACATGTGGGGGGCAAACCATCTTTCTTTGATGGCACATGCTATGATTATTGGAAGAGAAAGATAAAAATATATCTTGGTTCAATCAATGATCAAGTGTGGGATGCGACCGAGAGTGATTATGTGATTCTTGATCCCACCAATCTCACCAACCATGACAAGGCAAACAAGCAATGCAATACAATGGCTCTCAACACCATCTACAATGCCATTGATTTCAAGGTATTTGAGCAAATCAAGGATTGTGAGAGAGCTAGTGAGGTGTGGAAGAGATTAGAATAAACTTATGAGGGCACACCAGCTGTCAAGAGTGCCAAGTTGTACATCCTCAAGGACAAGTTTTCAAGCTTCAAGATGAAGGATGATGAGAGCATTTTGAAGATGTTCTATAGATTGCAAGTGATCATCAATGACTTGAAGGCTTTGAGTGAGAAGATAAATGATGATGATGTCTCTCATCGGTTCTTGATGTGCTTACCTCCAAGATTTGAGACATTGAGATTGATTATCATAAGAGGAGGATTGAAGGACATAACCCCTAACCAAGTACTAGGTGATGTCATGACATAAGAGACATATCGTATAGAAAGGAAGGGAGTTGACCATGATGAGAAGAAGGATGAAGACAAAAAAAGAAGTGTGTAGCATTTAAGGCTAGCACCTCATCCAAGAGTAAGGGCAAAGCAAAGAAAAAAGAATCAAGTGGTGATGAAGATGCTAGTGACATTGATGACGAGGCCATGGCTCTCTTTGTGCGCAAGATGGGCAAATTCATGAAGAAGAAGGGCTATGGCGCAAGAAAGAGAAGAGATCACAACAAGGAGTGTGTAAGGAGATGCTACAAGTGCAAGAGCAAGGATCATGTTGTAGCGGTGAGGATGAGAAGAAGAAAGAAAAGAAGGAGAAGAAGGAAAAGAAAGAAAGAGAAGAAGATGATGATATTTAAGAAGAAGAAGGATGGAGGCCATGTGGTCACTTGTGATAGTGATGGCTCATCGGATGATGATAATTCTAGTGATGATGACAAGAAGTCTCTCAAGAAGGCACTAGCTAGCATCGACATCAACAACAAGCCTTCCATCTTCGACACTCCATCAACTTGCCTTATGGCAAAGCCTACCAAGGTAAAATATGATGTGAGTGATAATGATGATTATGAAAGTAATGATTATAGGAGTGATGATGATGAGGAGTACTCAAAGGATGAGCTCATGGACATGTTGGAGCAAGTTCATACTTGCTTTGAGATGAAGAGAAAGAAGTATAAAGAATTGCACAAGAAGGTCAAATTTCTTGAACAATCCTTCGCTCGATGGGACTACAGATATTGTACAATATAGAATGGCATTGTTGTCACTGACAAATGGTCCTAAGCCCCACATGTCATCTTCACGAGTATTACATCTCTAACAATCTGTTAATGAGTAAAATCTACTAGTGCAATCCACCGACCACATGACCACATGGCCTACCACCACACCAGCTTGGCAGGTTGATACACACTGTTGTGCTGTGTAGCATATATTGTCCAGGCCTCGGCCTCTACCGTCTACAAAAGGCTAACACCGGGCACGCATTACCTTCACCACGAGCTCACGCACACGCATCCATCAGCAATGGCGACCACCATCACCAGGCTCTTGCACCACCTAGCACTCTTCCTCCTCGTTGTCCAGTTCGCCGACGCAGTTCTCCTCCCAAAGACCAAGAACCACGCTGCGCTGAAGCCTCAGTCAACGAGCATCATCTACATCGTCCATGCCAACGACCTCGCCAAGCCGCCCCACTTCGGCTACCTGGAGGAGTGGTACCATTCCATGGTGACCACCCACGCCTCTTCCACCAGGGCGGCGAGCTCCTGCGGCATCCTGTACACCTACGACACCGTCATGCACGGCTTCGCGGTCCAGCTCACTGGCGACGAGGCCCGGCTCATGTCCAGCGCGCCCGGCGTCATCGGCGTGTACAAGGACAGGGTGCTGTACCCTCAGACCACGAGGTCGACTGGGTTCATGGGCCTCCAACCCGGCAACGGCGCCTGGAAGCAGACCGATTTCGGTGACGGCGTCATCATCGGCTTCATCGACACTGGCACATGGCCCGAGAGCGCGAGCTTCAACGACAGCGGGCTCGGCCCTGTCCGGTCGAACTGGCGGGCCAAGTGTGTCGACGCCCACGGCTTCAACGCTAGCTTGTGCAACAACAAGCTAGTCGGCGCCAAGGCCTTCCACGCTGCCGCGGACGCCATGGCGGGGAGCGCGAGCAGCACGTACCTGGCCTCGACTGTACAGTCCCCGAGGGACAAGAACAGACGGACACGGCAGGCACGTGGCCTCAACGGCCGCCGGCTCTGAGGTCCAGAACGCCAGCCTCTACACGTTCTCCCAGGGTACCGCGTGGGGAATGGCACCCAGGGCGAGGATCGCCATGTACAAGGCATGCGACGTCAAAGGCGACTGCCAGAATGCGGACATCCTAGCGGCGGTGGACGCTGCGGTGAAGGACGGCGTTGACATCATTTCCATGTCCCTCGAAAACCATAGTTCCATACCCTTCCACGATGACGAGGTCGCAATCTCCACGTTCGGTGCGGAGCGCAAAGGCGTCTTCGTCGTCCTCGGTGGCGGCAATGGAGGCCCGCGGGCATCTACAGTGAGCAACTCGGCGCCTGCCTCCACCGTGGACCGGCTGTTCCCGGCGCACATCACGCTCGGGAACGGGGTCGTGCTCGCCGGGCAGTCCCTTTATACCATGCATGCCAAGGGCACGCCCATGATCCAGTTAGTGTCCACGGACAGCCTGAATGACTGGACGCCCGACACGGTCATGGGAAAAATCATCGTGAGCATGGACGGAGCAAGCGACGCGGATGGCATCTCCTTGCAAAATGCTGGTGGAGCAGGGATAGTTGGTGTGGATCCTGACGAGTGGTCTCGAGATGGTTCCGCAACCTATTCCTTCACCCTTCCGGGTCTCACGCTCAGCTACACCGCTGGCGAGAAACTCAGGGCGTACATGGCCTCGGTGGCGTCCTTCAGCTTCGGCTGTGAGACGGTCATCGGCCACAAGAACCGGGCGCCGGTGGTGGCGGCATTCTCGTCGCGGGGCCCCAACCCTGTAGCACCCGAGCTCCTCAAGCCCGATGTCGTCGCGCCGGGAGTGAACATTCTTGCGGCCTGGTCGGGCGACGCACCACTAGCGGATTACCCCGGAGTCCCCGTTCCCGACGGGAGGAGAGTGAACTACAACATCATCTCGGGGACTTCCATGGCATGCCCGCACGTCGCTGGCATCGCGGCGCTGATCAAGAAGAAGCATCCAAGCTGGACGCCGGCCATGGTACGGTCGGCGCTGATGACGACCGCCGCGACGGTCGACAACAGAGGCGGAGACATATCCTCGACAACGGGCACGCGGCCACTGTGGGCCGCACCGACAACGCGCGTCAGGGTCGCGACGCCGCTGGTGGCCGGGGCCGGGCACGTCCAGACGGACGACCTCGGCTACGACGCCGGCGAGCGCGACTACGTCGACTTCCTGTGCGCCCTGAACTACACCGCGGAACAGATGCGGCGGTTCGTTCCGGACTTCGTCAAGTGCACGGGAACGCTCGCCTCAACTACCCGTCATTCGTCGTGGCCTTCGACAGCCGCACCGACGTCCGCACGCTGACGCGGACGCTGACCAAAGTGTCCGAGGAGGCGGAGACGTACAATGTTACTGCCGTGGCGCCGCAGCATGTGATGGTGACCGTCACGCCGACGACCTTGGAGTTCAAGGAGCACATGGAGACGAGGAGCTACTCGGTGGAGTTCAGAAATGAAGCCGGGAGGCAGGCGGAGGCGGGTGGGGCTTCGGGCAGATCAGCTGGGCGAACGGGAAGCATAAAGTCAGGAGCCCGGTGGCGTTCCAGTGGAACAACTGACGACTTCTAGAGTTCTAGTAGTATTGAAGTAGAAACTTGCACAAGAATAAGCTATGTGTTGAGCTTTCATGCTTAAACTGTCATATATTGTCATGTTGATGAGTTCATTGGTTAGGATGGTTGGACCAAGATATGTTTGGTGACGATGATGTTTGGCATCCCAGCACTGAGACACATTGCTCCTCGGCTTCTTCGCTCATATGAATTGGCACGACAGTACTCTTGCCATAATTAATCTGAAGGCCAGTGGCTTGTGCAAAGTGATCGAGCAGTGTCTTAGCCTCTGAATGTCGTGCAACTCAGCCCGTACCAATAACAACGTGTCATCCGCGTACTGAAGTACCGGACAACTTGTACCAGCAATAATCGGGTGCCTTATCTGTTCATCGGACCTGAAGCACATCTGCCACAAGAATGAAGAGATATGGTGACATTGGATCCCCTTGCCTGAGACCCCGACGACAACTTATCCATGGACCCAGGCATCCATTAAACAATACCGCTGATCGAGATGATTGTAGTATGTGCCGCATCCATCTTCGCCAAATGTGGGTGAAGCCTCTGCATAACTGTATCTAAGGCTTCCCAGCTTACCGTGTGGAAAGCTTTTGCAAACTCCAATTTGACAACAAGCGTTGGTGTTTTCCGCTTGTGACAACACTGGATGAGTTCCATTGCATAGACGAAATTTTCTGTGATTGAGCGCCCTTTTGATGAAACATGTTTGGTCGAGATCCATAAGGTTGGTGATCTGTGTCTGCAGCCTCGTTGTTAAGATCTTGGACAGTGAAGAAAGCTGTATTGTTGTCACCTTCGCGTACAACTCTTAACTTTCTGCGCAGCTTCTAGTATGCGGCGTGTTGTTTGAACTCATCATGGCTCATTTGTCGTACCTGAATTTCATCATTAGAGAGACAACGATCTTCTTCAAACATGTCAAAAAGCTGTATTATGGAATTATAGCTGGTGGTGCCCTGTTATGCCTAGACCAAACCTTTGCCGCAGCCTGAAGTGATTTAAGACGCCTGGCGAGGGTTCCAGCAGCATCAGGACGCTGGTGAGCCTCATCACAGGCCAGGAGAACATCCGGAAGGAAGTTTCGGTTTGGAAGCTACTCCGTAAGCATTTTCAAAGCGAAAAATGTTTGTTTTGGGATGTCGATAGACAGACAAGCAAGAATTGGCGTATGATCCGAGGTTGGGCGCTTGCAGTCCTTGCAGAGATGAGGAAGGGAAGAGTTGGTGCATTGCGTTGTTATGAAAAAATCTGTCAATGGGATGGGCCTTCTCGAACTCCCTTTGCTAGGCTGATTTTATACTTATTTATTACCACATCAATCAAGTTTTTGATAGACATGAACTGGAATCGGATAATTACCGAAGTGTTCTGGTTCTATTATAAAAAGGGTACGTTTGGTAGCGTTCTTGAAGCTCTGCATCTGTCCAACCAAACAATCCGTGGTGCATTAGCTCTGGGTGTCTTTGAATCGCGGTAACTGAAACCACATGCGGGAAGGAGAGCTGAAAAATCAAGCTTCGTCTAGCTCCATCTTCCATGCTCGCGGTCTCGCCCCGAAATACCCCTCCTCCATACGCATGGGCAGTGGCGGCACGTGGCCATGCGTGCACGTGGCACGGAGGGCGGCGGTCGGGGTGAAGTGCGATAGTAGGGAGGTGGAGCAGCGAGAGATGTGGGTGGACGGTGGCGGGACTAGGCACGATGGCAAGGAGGTGGAGCAGCGAGAGATGTGGGCGGGTGGTAGCAGGACAAGCGCGGCAACAAGATAGGCAACAGGAGTGCGGACGACAACCGAGGCCCAAATAAGGCAGGGGCAGCGAAAGCAAAGCGGTAACGCTTGGTTGAGGATGTCAGGACGGACCGACCGATCCCACGTGCATTACGCCCAATAAAAAAGGGGGCACGTAGTTAGGTGGGGTCCATATCCGGAGAGCGCGTACGGCCACTCATTCGGGGTGCATGCGACGTGTGGGGCCCGTGACCAGTCGGCCAGGCCCTAGCCCCACCTGCCGCATTGCTGCTTTAGCTGACCGGCTTATGCGCTTAGCCAGTTGCAGGGCTGGCCAAGCCGCTTGCCTGTTTGTGAGAGGAGAGCGGGGCCACATTTACATGGCAGCTGAGTGTTGGTCCAATTTTTTTCATCACTCCATGGCATCTAACTCCGTATGTTTCATGTGTTTCAGATGTATATTTCATCTAAATATTACATGTGTTTCATCTGGGTGTATATGTTGCAATGGCTATACACATATGTTGCAAGTAAATGTTCAAATGTTTCATCTGTTTCAAACGTATGTTACAAGTGTGTTTATCTAGATGTTGCATATGTTGCAATGGCTATACACGTATGTTGCAAGTGTATGTTTTAAATGTTTCAGCTGTTTCAAACGCATGTTGTAAGTGTTTCTATCTAAATGTTGCATATGTTGCACTAGCTATACACGTATGTTGCAAATATTTTAGTTGTTTCAACTAAATGTTGCAAGTGATTTCTCTGGATGTTGCATATGTTGCAGTGGTCATACACATATGTTGCAAGCATATGTTTTTGTAAATGTTTCATTTGTTACAGACGTATGTTGCAGCAAATGATTTTATGTTGCAAGTGTTGCATGACCAGGCACGGGAAGTGAGCGCAGACGGAGGTGGTCCCCTTGTGCGTGCGGAAAGCGAAGCGGGCGCAACGGCCCCCACATGCATGTGCAGGTGCATGCATAACCGCAGCAATAGGCGGGGTCGGGCGGACAAGCGTGGTAGCAGCAGCGTGCGATTGACAACAGCAGCAGCAACGCATGGACAGGTGCGGCAGTAGCCTGTCCGCGGGGAGGTAGGAGCTGCATGCATACGCTGTGGGGCCCGCCCAAGCAAAGTGGGAGGTGGAGGTGCGGTGCACGCGTCCCTTCCGTTGGCCGTATGCATCTAGGAAAGTGTGTCGCCTGCGTCGTTTCCTGCCGCATGTAGAGCGAGCGTGTCAGGCGGGCAGTAGGCGCGGGCGTCTGGACAGACACGCGTCCGGACGTCCGGGCGCTAGTCTTGCCCAAAGCAAACGGCGAAAGATGCGACAAGTGGAGGTGGGTGAGACTTAGGGGAAAGGGAGAGGAAGAGAATGAATGGAACTAAAAAAGAAAAGAAAAAAAAACTCAATTCGTCAAAGGAGAAATAAATAAATTAAGAAACTATAAAAAAGGAAAAAAGAGAGAAGTGTATTATGAATATTTTTTCCTTTTCATCTACGTAAAAAGCTATTTTACCAAATAATTTTCTAATAAAAATAGTTGAAGCTCAAAAAAAATTACTCCACTAAATAAGCTGGGCCAGAACTCTACCAAAGGTACCCTAAATGAATAAAAACTAAAAGGGCTTTTAATTGCATTTACATGTTACTCCCTCCATTTATTTTAAAATTCAGACCGATAATTAGCCTAACCATATAATATAAAAAAATTATAGTACAAAAGCATTACGTTGGGTTTGCATTTAGAAATACTTTCTAAGGGTTAAACTTTTGTTACCATAAATTATGTATTACAAAAAATTAGCGGTTAAAATGAGATCTTAAAAAGCGCACATTTTGTTTATCACCAAATAGATAGAGATGAATGTTATATGATAATAGGAGGAAATTCTTCCTTGAATCAGGGTATTTAGGAATAACAGGTTCTTCCATCTAGATACCATCAAGAATTTGTAACTATTACATAGGAACATATTCATGTTATAAGTATTTTTCCTTTCTAATATTTTTGTATTGGAGGTTTACATGCCTGCAAAATTGTCTGCCTAAAACGAAACAGCACAGTTTTGTGTAATTGATTCACACTCCGGCATTGGAGAAATTAACGATACATGGATCCGTATGAATATTTGAAGTTATTGCACTTGAGAATGGACAAATTTCTGTTCTTATGGGCATCTATTTACCATAAAAAGTAAATAAAAAAACCACAGATATTGTAGCAATGTCACATAATGCTTAATTGAAAGAATCATATATTAGCTTATTCTCATAGAGCAATAACCCCTTTTTCCGTGAGAGAACAGGTAGACATTAATTTGTGGTACACCCTTTTTGTTTGGATGATCATGAATTCAATTGCCGTACTTGATCTACAAGGCTGCAACTTCCTAACCTAAGCATTATTCAACACCCATCTCATCAAAAAGAAAAAGAAAAGCATTGTCCAACTTAAAAGATCAGCCAACAATGGACAAATTGCCGTGTGATTGTACGCTTGGTCAGTGATGCTTTAGTTAGATGCTACGTTGCTCTTTTGCTTGTTGGTAAGATAACAATACACGTTCCCTATTTCCACCATTTACATCAGTCCACAATTTCTATTCTCGAGAGAAGCGTTGCAAACCTTTTCTTGATGAAAAGATTCAAGTGCACCCTTTCATCATTAATATATAGATCAGGATGTACAGAGACGTTGCAAGTTTGCAGTTACTTTTCAGGTTAGACAGCCATGTCTGTTTCACTGATTTCTGAGTGCATCACAAAGCTTGAGAATATCATAGTAATGTCCCTGAGGAATATGAGCAACCAATAGTAAGTCAAAGAAGGGTATTCATAGTTTCATAAAAAAAGGAAGGGCATTTATAAAATCAGTCAAGTTGTACATGGCCACCCAAAAATGAAGGCTAAGCTTGTATTACTTCCATTTACAAAACATAACAGCTAGTCGTGCAAATGCAACCCACAGGGCACAAATTAGATGTAAAACAAAGAAAGACATTCTCCCACCACAAACAAAACTGATGCAACCCAAATAGACTTCTATGGTCACATTTATATTCTTTTTTTTTCAAAAATGTCAAATAACAGGGCAACTCTATTGATCAAGGTGCTCTGCTAATATACCATTAAGAAATATTATGAAAACTCATGCATACTTACTTGAGGTAGGGAAGGGTCATATTCCTCAGCACATATGGATTATCTTTAGCATATGCAGTCCATTCTTCTTGATCTATCTTCCCATCACCTTTTGTGTCAGCCTGATCAAATGTCATCAACAACCAACATCAAAAGATTCAACACCACGCAAAATGGATATATTTGTTTTGTATTCTTGGGGTTTAGGACACCGCACCACAGAGGAACACATGGATGAAATATTTTCTTACCCTATCAACAATCATCTCGACAGCATCGCTCGCAATATCCAAATCTGATTCATCCAGCAGAGCCAACACCATCTCCTTTAACTGCAATGTAACTGAGGATAGTGAGAAATATTCCTAATAATCATATTTTAGGCAGAACTGACAAGCTCACTGCAATAGACATGACTAAAGGGATAAATGGTCAAAAGAACATTCACAAAATTTCCAGTTAAGACAACCAGTTTATCTATTGACATTTCAAAACAAAGAGAACAATATACAGCAATTAATTGGTATTACATCATAGTTATCTATCAAGAATGAAAATCTCTACAGGCCATATATTACTCAGAAATACAACCGAGTAACGTTTATCCATCTGATCCTGATCTATTATATTTGAAATAAGTTTTCAAAGATGGGCTTTCTCAAGTTTTTGTAACTTACTACTTCAGATGACACTGAGCATGTACTTTTTTTTGAAACAAGCCACTGAGCATGTACTTTTTTTAAAACAAGCCACTGAGCATATACTAAGGTAGTTTCAGAAGGAACTATTTTCACATGATTTCAAAAGTAATCAGTGGGAAAGAAATATATATATATATATATATATTAGTTGGCAATGTATCTGGCTAAGGAATGCCTCCCCGCTGGCCGCTGCAATCTATATATTATTTTTCCATTGCAGAAACACAATTTCTTGTAATTGATATCAATTGCTGTGTGCTTACTGCAGATTTCAAGTGAAAAAGGAAAGAGACACAAAACCTCTCTGACATGAATGCCTAATATCAATATTCAATAACAAGGAATCAGCGATGCAGCCATAGTGCAATGGGATACAAAGAATGTACATCATTATGTTCATTCACTCAAAGCCAGAAAGTAACTAATGAAAAGGAAAACAATGCTTACCTCATGCCGTTCTATAAAGCCTGTCTGTCTTAAGTCATACAACTTAAATGCAACTGCAATAATCAAATAAAAATAATTAGATAAAGAAATTAAACCTAGAACTTTCTGGTTCTGAGTCTCAGTAGAATAACTTTCTTACATGCAACTTTTTGTTCTTCTGGTGCATCTAGATGAAACACACTAAGAGATCGAACAAATTCACCAAATTCAATTACACCATTTCGTTTTTTATCAAACAAGTCAAATACCTGCAATTTGTTTTTGAGCTTTGTTATAATAAATTTTATAGACATACAACTGATTTAAGGCTATACAAAACTAACACACTGAATTTATTCTTGAACTAAAGCATAAATCATCATCATCATCAACCCTATGTTGAAGACTTGAAGCCTTGTATATCACACTCCGTCAATCCATGATTTAAAACTGCACAGAAGCTACAACTATGACACTGAAGTAGAAATGCTTTTGCAGAGCTGACAGATAGGTGCTACGTTTACTGAAAAATGCAATTAATAAAAAATTTGTCATCAACAAACAATCATCAGGTATTTGTTAGGGAGGAAAAGACTTAGAGAAGCTGTTCTTTTGACAATAAATAAAGTCGTGAGCAACATTTTGAAACTAACAAGTTGACATAATTGATACTCTTACCCTATCAACAAAGAGATTTTGCTTCTTCTTGCTCCTAAAGAGAGCAAGGTGGAATTCTTCCTGGAAAAAAGGAAAAAGGGAAAAGGACACATATTAAATTAATTTATCACAAGATTATTAGTTTGTTACCCATCCAAAATTATGCTTTGGAGACTACCTTGTGAATTAGATTATCTTTGATAATTGAATTACTTATTTTCCGGAAGAGCTCATGTAGTGCTTCAACTTCACTCACTGTAACTGCAACAACAGGCGGAGGTTAACAAACTAGTTGTAAAACACAAGTACACAAGAATACATGAGTATCGAGTTAGAGAAGTAGCAATGCCACAATGTTTAGACTTGTTTGACCGAAAAACTACGAAAAAAAGATAATGCTAGCCTGCACTATTGATGCATCTAAAATCTACAACATTAGCACATGGATGTGAGAGGATGATGTGGCAGTATATCTGAAAGCAATCCATTGATTCCTCTTTCTTATGAAAGATGGGATTCAATTCTCACGCAGTGTTCCAGTAGCAACATTAACAAAATCTGGAAGATCCACTTTCTCACAAGATGTTTCAGCAGCAAGGGCCACAGCTTCCCGTGTATCCAGCAAGTGCGGCGATCGACTGGTGTGCTTTGTTTGCAGACAGCCCATCAGCAGTGCCTCCAGTGGAATATCAAGCAAAGCGCAAACTTCGAGAAGATCTTCAAGAGCTCGGTTGCTGCTGTTGTTGCGTTGAGGAGAGAAGAGAGAGCGGCGAAGAGAGAGAGAGAGCAAAGAAAAGAATGGCGTTAGGGTTTCGCCCGCGTCGGCCGTCGGAGGGTTTTGATTACCCGATAACGACGCTCGATCGTCGAATCGGCGCGGATGGCTCAGATCGAGCGGGCCGTTTCGCGGCTCAGGTGGGCGCGCGTGGCCGCGGCACTTTGCCAGCCCAAGCCCACGTTGCGGCCTAGGTGCGGCCGGGCGTCGTGCATAGGTAGTGGGCCAAGCTGGCTTTCCTTGCTGGGCCAATGAACAGTGCTAAAATGAGTCATTTTTGTTTTTCTTTTTTCCAGTAAAAGTTTTTTTCCTGTAAATTGATTAATGGCTTAAAGAAAATAGAAAAAAGATTTTTCCTGTGGGCAAAAATTCATTAAATTGAATTATTTTTCCGCTGCGAATTTGAAGATGTTATTTTCATTATTAAATTCAAACCAAAGGGAGAATTTAATTTTAAAAATGGATATATTTTAATTGATTATAATATTGTTATTATTTTGATCAACGTTGATTAATGGCAATATTATAATGTTATTTATGATGAAATTTTGATATGGCTGCTAAAGAAATTATTTATTCTCCAGTTATTTTAAACCAACGTAATATTTAATTCGAGAAAAAAAGATTTTGACTTGATTATGATGTTATTTTCTGACCAACGTTGTTAATAACAATATCGTAATTTAATGATTTTATGCATTAATTCTATTTCTGCCCAACGGTGATGTAGAATTAGTGTATAAGAATAGTTGTAAATTTTAATGATTTATGCATTAATTCTATTTCTGCCAAACGGTGATGTAGAATTAGTGTATAAGAACAGTTGTAAATTTTAATGATTTATGCATTAATTCTATGTCTGCCCAACGGTGATGTAGAATTAGTGTATAAGAATAGTTGTAAATTTTAATGATTTATATATTAATTCTATTTCTGCCCAACGGTGATATGGAATTAGTGTATAAGAACAGTTGTATGTTTTAATTTTGACCAACGTTGTAATCAAGACATGCAATTGTTAGAGATCCTCACTACACGGAGTGGAAGAAAAAGATTGGCCTGGCCTTCATCTTGGTTGAGGTGGACTGGGTAGTCACCTCACCGTGTCCCACTGATCCTGTGGCACTGGTGAGGGAGACAAACGAGACTGATGCCGCTTGGACAACTAAAGAGAGGGATTTTGAATACCAAAAGATGTCCTATAACCTTGAGTATAGAAAGTGGGTCACTGTCAACAAGAAATTTTGGCTGTGATAAAGAACACGATTGAGCCTGCAATTGTGGGATCAATCCCAGAGTGTGACACGGTCACCGAGTACCTCGATAGAATAAAGAGTTAGTTCACTGGCTCATCAAAGACATAGGCTACCCAGCTGATAAAAACAGTTAGTGACAGAGAGTTACTCTGGAAACAGAAAACAAAAGAGAGCTCATGATACGTCATCGAAATTATGACACTGTTGTTTAGGCCATATTTCAAGAGGAAGAATAGAAAGATTAGTTAAGAATAATATTCTTTCTCCATTAGAGCTCTCAGATTTAGAACAATGCAAAGAATGCATAAAAGAAAAGTATGTAAAAAAAATTAAGAAAGATGCCAAATGAAGCGTAGGAATTTTATAGATTATTCACACAGACATCTGTGGTTTATTTCCTGTAAAGAGTGTGGATAGTTATGATTCATTCCTAACATTCACAGATGATTACTCCCGTTATGGCTATATTTATCCAATCAAAGAAATAACAGAAGCATTGGATAAATTTAAGATATTTAAGGCAGAAGTTGAAAACCAACTTAATTTAAAGATTAAGATAGTCGGATCTGACCGTGGGAGGAGTACTATGGTCGGCATACCCCATATGGCCAAGTTCCTGGACCTTTTATAAGGTTCTTACAAGAGAATGACACAGTAGCCCAGTATTCTACACCGGGCGAACCTCAGCAGAATGGAGTAGCTAAAAGATGCAATCATACCCTGATGGATATGGTGCGCAGTATGATCAGTTACTCCACCTTACCGTTGAGCCCATGGATGGAGGCGTTAAAACCGCCATTCATATTCTCAATAGAGTACCAAGTAAGTCGGTGCACAAAACACCGTATGAGTTGTGGACAAGAAGAGTACCCTTACTAAACCACTTGCGTGTGTGGGGGAGTCCTGCTAAGGCTAAAGTATTTAACCCAAATATTGGGAAGCTAGATCCCAAAACAGTGAGTTGCCATTTCACTAGCTACTCAGAAAAGTCAAAAGGTTTTTGTTTCTACTGTCCAGAGAGACATACAAAGTTTGTGGAAACGAGACATGCAGTCTTCCTAGAGGATGAAATGATGAGGGGGCATGGTAGCTCGAGAAATTGACCTTGAAGAGAAGTGGGTGTATGCGCCCACTCCGATGATTCATGAGCCATTTTTTCTCACTACCTGCTGTCGCTGCACCGACAGTGCAAGATACTGTGGTGCCAGCACCTGTTGTTATTCCGTCTGTGGCAACAATGAATGATAATGAGGAACCTGTTCTTCAGGATCCTGTAGAACCTATTGCCACACATGAGGGGAGCAACAACAACCACAAACAGAAAGATGTGCCAAATGTGGAGGCCCCTAGAAGGTCTCAAAGAGTTAGAAAATCAGCTATTTCTGCTGACTATGAAGCATACAACACTGAGGAATTTTCAAATGGAGGATGATCCTACTTTATTTAAAGAAGCCATGAGAAGTGATCATTCATCAAAATGGCTTGAAGCCATGGAAGATGAAATAAAATCTATGAATGCCAATAAAGTTTGGGACTTAGAAATAATTCCTAAATGAGCCAAAATAGTAGGCTGTAAATGGGTCTACAAAATAAAACTTGACTCTCAAGGAAATATAGAGAGATATAAAGCGCGACTTATGGCAAAAGGCTTTACGCAAAGAGAAGGGATTGATTACAATGAGATGTTTTCTCCAGTCTCATGTAAGGATTCCTTCAAAATCATAATGGCATGAGTGGCACATTACGATTTAGAATTACATCAGATGGATGTAAAGACGACATTTCTCAATGGGGACTTGAAAAATATTTACATGGCACAACCAAAAGGTTTTGTCATGGAAGGAAAAGAACGAATGGGATGCCGCTTAAAGAAATCCATTTATAGATTAAAACAAGATTTAAGACAGTGGTACTTGAAGTTTTATCAGATAATAAGGAATTTTGGGTTTAAAGAGAATGTTGAGGACAATTGTGTCTATGCAAAGTTTAAGAATGGGAAGTTTATCTTCCTCGTCTTGTATGTGCATGATATCTTACTTGCTAGTAGTGATGTCAGTCTACTACTGGAGACAAAGAAGTTTTTGTCCTCAAAATTTGATATGAAAGATCTTGGTGAAGCTTCGTTCGTTCTAGAGATCGAGGTTCACCGAGATAGAAGGGGTATTAGGACTGTCACAAAAGGCATACATAGAAAAGATCTTAAAGAAATTTAGTATGCACAAATGTAGTCCCTCACCTGCTCCTATAGTCAAGGGCGACAAATATGGGGATTTTCAATGCCCCAGGAACCAGTATGAGATCGATCAAATTGAAAATGGTTCCATATGCTTCAGTTGTCGGAAGCTTGCAATATGCTCAAGTATGTACGCGCCATGACTTGATATTTGTTACCGGGTTACTTGGCAGATTCCAGAGCAATCCTAGAACAGAACATTGGACATTAGTAAAGAAAGTCTTGCGTTATTTGCAAGGAACGAAAAGCCTCATGATGACGTATAGAAGATCTGATTTACTCCATATAGTGGGATATTCGGATTCTGATTATGCGGGAGATGATAGAAAATCCACGTCTGGATATGTATTCACTCTCGCAAGGGGAGCTATTTCATGGAAAAGCTCAAAGCAAACTATCACTACATCGTCCACAATGTATGCCGGGTTTGTAGCGTGTTATGAGGCAACGGGGCAGGTGAACTGGCTAAAGAAGTTCATACCCAGTTTGAAGGTCGTTGATGACATCTATAGACCACTTAAGTTATACTGCGATAATAATCCGACAGTACAGTATGCTCACAACAATAAGTCAAGTGGTGCTACCAAACACATTGACATAAAGTATTGTGTTGTGAAAGATAAAGTCCAGGATCATGTCATAAGTCTTGAGCATATAAGTATTGAAAAGATGCTCGTGGATCCGCTTACAAAAGGCTTACCACCCAACGTGGTCAGAGAACATGTAGCTAGCATGGGTTTAAGGGAAAGCCTAAAATTCCTAGACAAAAGAAGGCCCAAAGTTAAGTATCTATTTCAGAACAAAGTGGTGTGTTGTAGCTGTTAAATCTATCGGCAATTGACCGTGATGATGAAACATGCTCTATGCGCTAATCTATAATGGAATGAACAAAAGTAAATGATATGAAATTGAAAGATGGTAGTGAGATCAAAGGGGAGAATGTTAGTTGATCTCCACCATTAGGCCCAATGGCCTATTGGGCCCTTGGATCTGCGCCCTGATCAGGGGCGCCCAACCCTAATATGGTTGGTGGGCCCTTGTTGCACAACACTATAAATAGAGAGGTGGGGATCAGGGCTTTGATAACGAGATTGACCGGAGCCACCGTAACCACCCACAGAGAAACACTAATCCGATCAAAAGAAGAGTGCTACCAGCGACGGGAAGCCGCCACCAACCTCACCGTCGCCTCTGCATCACCACTGGACCTTGTCTCCACCACGCTAGACTCCACCGCGCCGAGCTTCCTCGACACCGACGTCCACGAGGCTACGGCACAACTGAGCCAGGACGAACTAGAGGAACCTAAGTAAGATGCTTACCCCGATCTATGGATTAGAGGCACTACTGTGATCCTAACAGCATGATGATACTTAGGGTCCTTTGGTACACAGAAAGTAGTG